TTAAGTTGTTTTCAGTCCTTCACCAACTGCATATTGATTTCTTAAAGGGTTTGTGGTGGAGTGTAGAGACAGTCGTGTTGAAACCGCAAACTCGGTCTCAAATCTTTCACTTCAGCCTTGTCAGGAGAAGTTCGAAAATAAAAAAAATAAAAAAAGAAAAGAAAATCGAAGACAAATTTCTCTCTCCTCTTTCTTACATTAAAGCTAGTGAATAATTTTAATTTTTAAATTAGCGCTTAAAGGTTAAGGAGTTTGAAATTATAGAGGATCGAAGATTCACTTTGAAGGGAAATATCGTTTTCTTAATTCTTTCACAAAACTATTGGTTTGCCTCTGTATAAGAATTTAACCAATTTATAAATGACGATAAATTAAGTTTTGTATGCTATGTGTACTTAATTTCATAAATGAAGTATAATAAGAGTGTTAATTAGCTTGTAACGGGCAAAGCTTTAAAATTCAATTTGAACATGTTTTTCTATCCATCAATCCGTAAATTTCTCTGAATGAAGAGAAATGAAAGGAAATTTCTGTGCGTTGGTAGAAAGATAAGAAAAATTAAAGGTAAGGGCAGATCGTCCGTCATATTATAATTCAAGTAACAATCTGCCGCAAATATAAAAGCTTTGCTTAAAAATTATCTCAAAGAGCCTTACTAACGATTGAAAGAACGAAAAAGCTATTCTTTTGCCTTTCATTTAATGGGTGGATAATCAAGATTCGCAGTAACATAATTTTGTCTTTTATTTTTGTTTCATTTCTTCTCAAACTCATATTAAAAAATATAATGTCAACGCAGCAGCATTATTGTACATTATATACGAAAAAGTTGAACGCATTACAATAATTGGTCTTACAGGCACCACAAATACAGGCAATCATCTCAAGTGAAGTCTTATCTACAATCAAACATTTAGCTGGCGAGACGAGGACATTTAAAATAATGTAATTTAAACATTTTATGGTTCTGTTCACAGAACACAAAGGAACAGAAGAAAATTAAGGAACTGAAACGACACAAGAAAGCACAGAGATCATTATGTATACATTTATATTTACATATAGACACACACATCATATATATATATATATATATGTGAAGTAAATAGTTTTAACGTAACTTTAAGCCGTTCGGAAACAATATAAAGTATAGAGTCATAAAGTTTATGCTCTACCAAGTGAAAACAAGCAGATATTAAGAACTTTATTATGTTTGCGTATATAGGCATGTATACATATGTACACGGAGAGAGAATGAAGAGTTATTAAATAAACACGTAAAAAAATCGTATATGTGTACAGTATGAAACTTAGTTCACCGCGTGTTATCTTAAATATTTGTATGACAAAAAGAAACAAACAATAAAAGCAAAAAAAAAAAAAAAAAAACGCATTTAAGCGGATTAAGTAAGCAGTGAAGTGACATGAACGTATTATATGTACGCCGCCTGAAAGTAGGCGAATTAAGTGGAAGCTGCCTAGAAATGGTTTATTTTTTTATAATCACGTTTTAAATAATTATCAAACGTATACAGTTGATTTATTATATATTTCAACTTTAGCACTTTTAGTGAATTTTTTTTGGGCAATCATCAAAAATCGGCATTAAAATTCTTTCATAATAATTTTCTAGTTCTAGAGTTATCGCTTACTTTAAGAATTTAAGCGAGTGTATAACTTAATGGAATGACATGGATGCTCCCTTAAGATGTATTCTTACGTTAATAAATGATTAAAACGTCACATGCTTGTAAAGATATTCTTTGTGAAATTTAAAAGGAAGCGTGAATATGACTCTAGTTCTTGTAAAGTTATTAGAAGCACTTTTCTGAGGCATGACAGTGTTTAAAAGCAACACATAAGTTAGTTTCGCGTTACATTTATAATATAATATAAATACAAGCATTAGTCTGCAAAATTTGCATATGCTTAACAAACATGACGAATTAGGTTGATGTATTAACCTTATTCCACAGCCCTTGTTATTGCATTATTTCAAGTTGTAAAACCTATCACAGAAAGCTAAAATATTCCATACATATGTTCAAATTTAGTTATCCTACATAACGCAATTAGAAAAAACAAGATAGATATCGATATGAATTGAAACATATTTGCCTAACAAAGGTATG